AAAAGTCCTCCCCATTCAGGTTTTCATCGACCATAATGTATGAGTTTTATCTAACTTAAGTGTCCATATATTGTTGTCTACACTCTACAAGAACAATTGTAATATATGTACAATTATAGACTTTATTTTTTAGACGAGTCGAAAAGGGAGGAAGCATGACTCTTGAGTGGTTATGCAAAGTACGAGTATATAGTATATAGTATCTATATCTATCTATCTATCTATCTATCTATCTATCTATCTCTATCTATCTATCTATCTGTTATGGCAATTCAAAAAAAATTCTTGCCACATAAGCAATTGGAGGATCCACAATATGCCAAGTTGGACAGCTTTTTAACAAACAAAAAATTAGTTATTAATGTATTTATGGAGCTACCTCTCTCTTCTTTAATATTTCCATTTCTTTTATTCAATTATTCTTTTTCATTTATCCATTTATTCTTTTTTTCCTTAATAATAAGTTACATGTTGATAAAGTTAACCAAACATACATAAATACTAATTTTTTAAATAAACAAAATATAAATAAGAAAAAAGAGAGTGACATATATCACATTTATTTAAATAAAAAATATCTGATTAAACCTTATGAAATTAATTTTCTACTCATTTTTACTAAAATTCAATGATAAGTTACATTTTGATGAAAAAATAAACAAACATACACATAAACATTTATGTTTTAATCGATTAAACCAAAATATAAATGAAAAGAGAGAAAATAAACATTTGTCATTCAATTACCTTTGAAAAATAAACTAAATTACTTTATATTTTGTTGCAATGAAACACTCTCTTGTTCATATAATATATATCTATAAAATAAAACAGTATTATTTAGCAAAATGTTAGAGTATAATCTTGATCGAGTAGTTACAGTTATTTATTTAAAAAGAATTCTTATTCATTCAGATCATGTTCTACCTTAAATTCGTCAAGTGAAGAGGAATCGCATATGCAATAATTTGATAATGTGACCTAAGTTCACATTAATAATATTTGCTCTATATCATGTTGATTGAGCAAGCTCTATTGAGGTTCTAAGTCGTTTGATAAGAAATTTTCTTTCAGACTTGGAGTTGTCTTATTATAAATCAAAATTTCAAAATGACTTAAGTATGATTGTTGTCGAACTTTGACTTCATACCCTAGGATGAGACGCAAGATTCTTTGAAAAATAATAGATGTGAAAGTTAGAAAAATCTTTGTCAGAATCTACGATAAACATCACGTTTCATCAACTACTAACATAGGCATTTACCAAATAAAGGTTGGCAATTTTTAGTAAGATCGTCAATTGGGATAAACATATTTATCCAGCAATCAAGTATCTTTATCCAATAATCTCAACTCTCAAAATTGGTTTTCAGTTCGTCTAGACTCGAGAAAAAAGAATTAATATATGTTGTATAAGATAATAAGTTAATGCAAATAATCAAATGAAATACACTGATATTGTTCAAATGATAAGACAATTTAAATGCACTTAAAATATGTGTGTATTGGAGACACTCTTTATCAATTATTAATATATAAGCGATAAAATCTTTGAAAATTACACATTCAACGACCATGTTAAGACCAAAAATCCTCGATAGTGTGTGTGTGCGCCTTAGATTGAGATTCTAAGTCGACATATAAACAATGACCACCGGTTGAGGTTTAGTATAAACTTCAAAAATTAACAATGGATACATATTATATAATATACTAAATTTAAGTGTCTGGATTAAAAAAAACATCCAAAATGAAAATGAGTCGAGATTAGAGAATTTAGTCATCATGAGGGCTACAGTGTGTGTCAAGTTTCAATATGGATGAATAAATCCAATAATGAAGTATCTTTACTAAGAATTTCTCACTAAAAAGTCGTAATTTTTACAGCATTGGTCGAGAGTTCGTCCAAACTCGAGGATCATGAATGTGTATTGGATTTTCAAAGGACCTAAAATCTCAATCCCTTTCGAGGGCTAACTACCTCCGATCACAACCATAGGTGCTAAAGTAGAATGAAAAAGAAGCCAAAAAAGCAAAAAAGAACATAACCTCTGATAAGATGAACATAATAAAACCATATCGAGCTATGATACCGCCATCCCTACCTTTTTATATATTATATATCGAACAATAGACAACCCCAATGGTTCTCTGGCATTATGGGGGTAAAAACGAGATCTCTTGATAATTTTGAGTGTAATATACATACATATATATATATATATACATGTATATGTAATATCAAGGTATACTATACTTTTTATTTAACTCAAGATACGATAGAAGATAGGTATTACGAAGTATGTGCATAAATTAGAGCTTACAGAATTAGGGACTAGAGTTCACCTATTAGAGGTTAGGGTATAGTATAATGCCCCAAAAAAATCCGGTTAATTCGGGTCTAAATAGTAAAACTCAATGGTCGTATGGTAGTATGAACGCAAGAGTATAACGTACTCCTGGCACACGCTAGCTTGAACTATATATATGTGTGTGTGGTTTAGGTTGACGTACGCTAAATATTAGTGTTTTGGTTGACAAATTTTGACATAAGTTCTAAATGGGACGTGACAGCGGTATAATTTATGATTCGAAAACCGAAGCATCACAAGTGAGTGTGCTAAATATTGGAAATTTCAATATAGACATATTACAAACTCTGTTACAAAATATTTAGAAGATCCAAAATGATTTAAACATATAAATTATAAAATAAATCTCTCCGGCCAACGGGCTGGGTAAAAAGCTAGTATTAGATATATGACTAATTGTTTAATTAGTTTTGAGTGTCTGAAAGAAAACCAACCCACTTAAACAAAACAAACGGGTAAATTCCACGTTTGGTCACTGGGTTTACTAAAAAGTGTCATGTTTAGTCACTGAAAAATTTAATTCCAATGTTGGTCACTCGAATTAGTAAAACCGTGCATGTTTGGTCACTCTCCGTTTGTCTCCGTCAAAGTTCGTTAATGGATCCGTTATGTGCTAATGTGGGAAACAGAATCGCCTAATCAGCATAATCTAACCCGAAAATAATGAAACTCGACCCGCCACATCACTCGACCGCTGCCCAACCCAACGCTTAAACCCAACCCCTTCTTCCCTTCTCCAATCTGTAACCATAATCTTCCCTGACTTTTCCTCTTTCTTGCTTATAACCCTTCTTTCCCGATCTTCCCCACTGCTTCTTCTCCCCCATTCCTTCCTCCGGCAAAACACAACCCCCTGCGAAACACATAGCTTCCTCTCCCCCACTCCTATCCCCCTCAAGGACAACTCCTCCACTGCCAGGACGAACACTGAAAGCGCAGATTCCGCCATCGCCTGATTTGGATCTCAAATATGCTTTCGACCTGGAAGAAAATGAAGAAGGTGAGTAACGAGTGGCATCTGGTAGAACAAGTGCTTCGTGCTCTACCTTCTCGCCATTCTAATCATTTTCTTCCCAGGGAAATTTGTCCCCGCCATCGTGGATTGCGTCGGGGTTATCAGTAACGACCCACAGATTGCCGATTTGAGGAATCACAGAGCGATGTCGGGGCGTGGAACAGAGAGCAAGCCGCTGGAGATTCAGAGAACTATGAAATTGAGAAGCCATTCTAGGGGAAAGAAGGGGATATGATTGTTGGGCATCGCCATGTCTCTGGCGAATCGCACCTCCGCCAGCTCTTGTTGAATTTCCGTTTTGGGTTTTCTCCACTTGTTGTTGTCTCCTTGAGCAGATGATTCAGGGACAGCCGAGTTTCTTAAGGCAACTATCTCAGGAGACCTTCCGCTCACCAGGAGTAATCTGCCTATGCATTCCCTATCTCTGTATATGTATTTTCCAGTTTCCGTCCAAGCTAGCTACCAAGTACCTAATTTTGCTCCATTTCAGGGCTGGCTAATGCACTTGAAAAGCCAGTAGAGGAGCTGCCCGACGGGATTTGAGTATAGAAGAAGGAGTGGGGAGAGGACGATATATGTTTCGCCGAAGGAAGGAGTGGGGAAGAGGAAGCGATGTGGAAGATTTGGGAAGAAGAGTTAGAACTTAGAATCAAAAAAGCGGAAAATTTGGAGAAGAAGAGGGTTAGAGAGTGAAGAAGGAAATGGGGGGTTGGGTTAGGCGTAAGTGTTGGGTTGGGGTCGAGTGATGTGGTGGGTCGGGTTTCATCATTTTCGGGTTAAATTACGAAATTACGATGACTAGGTAATTATGTATGCCACATCAACACATAAAGAACTCCACTAACGGAGTTGGATGGAAACTAACGGAGAGTGACCAAATGTGGACCGTTTTACTAATTCGAGTGATCAACTTTGAAATTAAAATAGCTTAGCTTACAGTAGAGCGTGTTCGCCACCACACTGGCTAGTGCATTGGCCTTACCGTAAGAGGGTGTCGAGGGGTATGCCCTTTCAATTAGAACGCCCCATATCTCGTAACGGAGCGTGGCATTTGCTTTTATAAATAATATTTTCAGTGACTAAACATGACACTTTTTAGTAAACCCAGTTACAAAACGTGAACTTTACCCCAAAACAAACTTATAATTTAACCAAATCAATCAAATTAACTAGACCAAATTATTGTTATACTACCTGTTAAAATAGTTATCATAGTAATTGATCGGTTTGAACACCCTACAAACGACTCATACTCTCTCAACACATTACACAAAAGCAAGTGCAACACCTTAGGAGAATCCCGTATGGTTCATAAGAAAGAAATCGACTTAAACTGACAATATGCGTTTTGAGATGAAATGAAAGAGTCTTGTAAGAATTTCGACGTTAAACGTGTTTACTGTGGAACACTACAATTATGGGTGACCTTATGGAAAGTCATCTTAATAAGCACCCCAAGACAAAATCTGTGAGAGTCTAGACCCAAAATGGACTATATATATTATGTCTCGAGAAAATTCTAAAAATACAATATCTTGTCGGGACCAGATATTATAGCAAGACGAGGGAACGAAAGCGCCAAATATAAAATAATAAAAAATTAAAGAAAGGAGCTTAAGATAATCAAAAGAAAAAGATAAGCTCTCTCTCATCAATTAATCCCACCACCCACTCGCCCTGCATTGTGTAATTTGTGTTTTGCTATCTCTTCTTCTCCCTTTTATCTTCTTCTTCCATTCCCCGTAACGAAGGATCTTAAATCTTATTAGTCACCGTGCTAGTTTGTTAACAAAAGCAACAGACTCTAGTACGATTCTCCATTCCATTTCACTGCACTCTCTGTCTGCTGAGAAGAAAAGAAGCCAAATACAAAAAAGGGAAGAATGAAGGTGAAGGAAATCATGAGCAGGCATGGCCTTCCTTCAGATTCAAACCCGTTTCCCTTTTACAAAAACAGTCATTTCCTCGTCAAGTTCGCCGCCTCTTTCCTCTTATTTGGCATTGCTTGCCGCCTCTTGTTCTCTGATTCTGTCATGTTCTCCTCCTCCCCTGTTCTCACACAGCCCCTGCCATCTTCGCAACCCTCCTCCATCGCGCTCATTCCCACTGAAGAAGAACCAGAACCAGAGCAACAACAAGACTCTGCCGATCCCATGGATTTGTCCGTAACTCAAATGTCCCACTCTTCCCCCGAAGGTATGGCCTGCCTCCACTCTGTTTCCCCTTGGGTACTCTGTTTTTTCCCTTCTTCTGCCTTCACTTTTCTTGCTTTTCTTCAGCTCTGTTACTTAAATCTCAACTGCAGAAAAATGCGATCTCTTCGCCGGAGAATGGGTTCCTGACCCTTCTGGTCCGAATTACACCAACCGGAGTTGCCTCCACATCCAAGATCATCAGAACTGCATGAGAAATGGACGGCCAGATTCAGGGTATCTGTACTGGAGATGGAAACCAAGTGGGTGTGATTTGCCTAAGTTCGATCCTCGCAAATTTCTCAAACTGATGAGGAACAAATCTTTGGCCTTCATTGGAGACTCGATTTCGAGGAACCATGTCCAGTCGTTGCTTTGCATTCTCTCTCAGGTAAATCCACAGGGTTCAACTTCCCGAGCTTGTCTTCCTTCTTTTCAACAGACAACCTCAATAATGCTAAGTGATGCTAATGAACATCAGTTATGGCCACTTGGAGTAGAAGCTAAGTATTCTTATTTTAATAAAGTTTTGAACATTAATTAAATATATATTTACTTGCATCTTAACCATGCAAATGTTGGTTGTTGAATCTAACTTGCGAGAATTTCTATCTTCTGGGGAATCGTTTGTGATCTGTCAATGAGCTGGAGAAGAGCATAAGTGCATAACTAAAAGGAAAAGAACAATTTTTAAAAGGGAAAGGCGAGGCATCATTTGTCGCTTTCTTTGTTAATTAGTGCAGGGGTGAGCGTTGAACGAATAACACCAATTTATTTAGTTGGGGAGTCATTGTCCAATCTGGTTGTCTCTAGCTTATATTGTAATACCACACCCTCAGATGTGGCCCTAATTTTATTATAATTATTCAAATTTAAAAGTTTAAAAATCTCTGCAATTTAGGGGTTTGTTTGTTTCAAATTTGAACTATGTAATTTAGTTATCAAATTCAATTCATCGTGCACTTTGGCGGTTTGCACAAAATCATTGTTTGTTTGATATATGTCATAGATTAAATTTGTGGGGTGTATGAATTTTGAGAGTCCAAAAACTATTAGCTACTCCCACTCTCCCAGAAGAAGGGGGAAGGAGAGTAATGGTATTGGTATGGGTTTTAGACTTTAGTTCTCCTACCAACTTTTATGCCATTTCATTTCGGGTGAGATGATGTAACGGCAGATAAAAATTAACATTCTTCGGTCTCTCTAGGGTACCAACAATTTGATCTTTTTGTCTTAATCATAAAATAAAAAAAATTCCCCATGTATTGATCTCTACTCTAGGTTGAACGAGCTGTGGAAGTGTACAGTGACAAAGAGGACAAGTCCAAAAGATGGCTGTTCCAATCACACAACTTCACCCTCTCAGTCGTTTGGGCTCCATTCCTGATCAAGGCCGACATCTTCGAAGACAACAATGGAGTCTCCTCCAAGGAAACCCACCTCCACCTCGACAAGCTTGACCCGAAATGGGCCGACCAGTACGACAGCTTCGACTACGCGGTGATCGCCGGCGGGAAGTGGTTCCTCAAAACCGCAGTCTACTTCGAGAACGACGAGGTCGCAGGCTGCCACTACTGTCCCGGGCTGAACTTGACCGAGCTGGGAATGGACTTCGCGTACAGGAAAGCTCTGTCTCTTGCTCTTGACTTTGCCTCCAAGCACAGGGCCGTCATGTTCCTCCGAACCACCACCCCGGATCACTTCGAGAACGGAGAGTGGTTCAGCGGAGGGACCTGCAATCGGACAGTGCCATTCAGAGAAGGCGAGGTTGATGTTGGGGAATTGGACAGAGCAATGAGAGGGATTGAACTGGAGGAATTTGACAAGGCTGCGGCGGCGGCGGCTGTTGGGTCCGGTGAAAATGTGGGGTTGAAGCTGCTTGACACGACAAGGCTGTCGTTGTTGAGGCCGGATGGGCATCCTGGGGCGTACATGCAGTTTCAGCCGTTTGCAAAGGATAAGGAAGCGAAAGTGCAGAATGATTGCTTGCATTGGTGCTTGCCAGGGCCGATAGATTCGTGGAATGATTTGGTTATGGAGATGATTTCGAATGGTGGGCTCTATAGGTGACATTTGAGGTTAAAGAAAACCGTGATTCTGCAGAACCCGTTAGCAGAATATGCAGAGTCAGAACCAGCTGATTGTGTAATTTTTTTGACAAAAAATACCATTTCATGAATCCAACTTGTATCAATATCTACGTTACGTTGTCGATATTCAAAAACTACATAATTCATCATTTATAACAAATTTGAGGTCCTTCTGATAATCCAATCGCAGGCAAAACTTTAGGATTTTGATTCTTACAGAAAATGGGAAAGTAGGAGAGAATGAAAAAGGGATTGAGGAAGAAGACGGAAGGAAAGAATGATTCCTTCCAATTCCAAGTGTGGCCGTGTACTTTTTTCCATTAGATCACTTTTGACAAGAGGAAATTGTTTAGTTACATGATCATCAACAGAGTTTAAGCAATTCTGTAACGTAACCAAGAACAGAAGTTAAACCTCTGAAACAATGGAGACGACAAAGAAAGAGCATCGCGGGCCACACAGTGAGCTGCGATGTTGCGAATACGACCAATGAATTGAATCTTATATGAACCCACATCATCTAGAATCCAATAACTTCCTGCACAATTGTACCAATCTTGTTGTCAGCCAGATCCCTCGCCAAACACTTGTCTATTATCAGTTTAGCATCTCCACAGATTGTAAGATCTCTAAGCCCACGCCGACGACAGTCAACAATGCAGTCTTGTAAAGCCAAGGCTTCTAAAACATATAGATCCATCATCGCTTTATATTGTTTAGCTGAAGCAGCCACAATCCCACCTAACAGATCAAACATCACAAATCCTGCCGAACCAAACTTATCCGCAAATGTTGATGCATCAATCGTAGTCATTCTTTGACTAATTGGTTGAGGTGCTGGAGTAGCTTGACTGGAACTATTAGCCTGTTCATGAGCTGATTGCAGCAAAGCCCGGTCCACCTCTTTCACTTGATGCAACCACTAGTGAGCTAGAGCATCCATGCGAATTTTTCTTGATTGGAACACCATTGTACATCGATTCTTCCAAAGCCTCCACATCAAACAAATAACCTGCATAATCTTGTAGTCTGCATCTTGACCTGTTATCCTCATGATGGTAAAACGGAGGAAGCCTGTGAAAGATCTTTTCTCCGAAGCCGCCCACAAACCCTGCAAACCAATAAGTCTCCAAAGCTTTCTCGCTACAAAGCAATTGAAAACATATGTTATATTGTTTATTCTTTGCGTCCACAGACTGGGCAAATAGGTAACAAGTCCATACCCCTCGAAACTAATGCCTCCCGAGTCGGCAGAATACGATGTAAACATTGCCACAAAAAGAAGTGCAACATAGGAAGTACCTTTTGATTCCATATCCATTGCCATAAAACAGGATCATTGAAGGAAGCAATTTGTTTTCTTGTAGAGATTGGGTGAGCTTGATTAACCAAAAAGTAAGCAGATTTAACCGAGAAATGACATGATGCTTCAAACTGCCAGATAAGTTTATCACTAATCCTATGTAAGGAGAGAGGGATTCCACGAATTACTTGAATAGTGGCTGCGTCGAAGTACAGTTGCAGCATATGCAGGTTCCATGATCTGGTTCCTGGGTCGATGAAAGCACCCACAAAAGGAGAGGCTGTCGGAGCTCATGTACGTGGCTTAGGAGTGGAAGGGAGAGTAGTTGGTAGCCACGGATCTTGTAAAGCTCTAATCGAGAACCCATCACCTACCTGCCAACGAAGTCTCTGCTCTAATAAGTCTCTCCCAAACAAAACGCTTCGCCAACCCCAAGAAGAATTAGATCCCAAATTAACATCCAGAATCGAAGATGAATGACTGTAATAGCGGCCTCGATAAATACGAGCTAACAATGACGTGGGATCATCCAAAACCTTCCAAGCCACCTTCGCAAGTAGAGCTTTGGTTTTTTTTTTGCCCAAACGATCACTCATAAAAAGAGGATACATAATCGATCCAAGTTTACAACCAAACTATCTACTATTGTACCAGGCTACATAATCAAACACCCTTTGAAAGGGAGGTGACAAACTCAAAGCACGACGGGCCACGGAATGAGCCACTCTGTTGAAGTTACGACCTATGAAAAGTACTTGTGAGTCTCCAAGATCACCTATTAGGGAGAGAATCTCCTGCAGTATAGCACCGATCTTGCCGTCCGAAGTGTCAAAGTGACGACATTTATCAATAACGACCTTAGCATCACCTCCAACAACCACATTACGGAGTCGGCGGCGCACACATTCCTGCAGACAGTCACGTAAAGCCAAAGATTCCAAAATATAAGGATCCTTAATCCCAGCATAATGTTGAGCCTTTGCCACCTGCAGACCTCCAGAATCGTCAAACAAAACAAAAGCAGCCACCCCTGCGGAACCTGTTTTCACAGCAGCATCAAACATAGCATGACACCGTGAACGAGGACCTGCAGAAGAAGAAAATGGAATTGCAGAAGCAGCTCTACGTGGTTGAAGAATAGCCATGTCCACCTCTTTAACTTGATGTTGCCACTGTGATGCAAGAGTAGGAAGAAGAAGTTGCTTATGCTCAAAATGAGTGGAACAACGATTCTTCCATAACCGCCAAAGGAGGCAAACAATCTGCAACGTAAAATAATCAGGATCCTCCCCTGTTGCTGGCTGTAAAGAATGGCGAACAAACCCAACAAATGAACGTTTCTCCCAAACGAGAAGATGTTGTCGCATACCAATCAATGACCAAAGTCTTCTAGCCACAACACATTGGAAGAACAAATGTTCAATGGTTTCCTCTTTCCGACCACACACAGGGCAAATAGGAATTAAATCAACCCTACGAGCTGCAAGCGCTTCCCTAGTTGGTAAAATGCGAAGTAAACATTGCCATAGGAAGAACAGTAACTTCGGCGGGAGAGACCTTGTCCATACCCACTTCCAGAGCCCTTGATCCAAGAACGAAACACCATGTTTCTTCTGCACTGGTTGCTGTAAGGAAAAAGCCAAATGATACGCTGATTTTACTGAAAATTCTCACGAAAATTCATAATGCCAGACCACCCGATCCGGAATCCTGCGAATCGGAAGTGGGATGGAGAGAATAGCAGCAGCCGCGTCCGGATGAAAGAAGTGACGCACAGCTCTATGATTCCATGAATGAGACCCTGGATCAATAATGGTGGAAACAAGAATATTGGGATTAGCAGTACCTTGCCTTGGACTTGGAATAGAAGGAGGCGTAGTAGGAAGCCAAGCTTCTGTAAAAGCATGAATATCTTCTCCCGACCCAACTTGCCAATGGAGACCACGACGAAGCAGATCCCGACCAAAAAGAACACTGTGCCATCCCCACGAACAATTACCTCGAACCTCAGCCGAGAGTAAATCAGAATCTTTAAAATAACGAGCTCGATAAACCCGAGCAAGTAACGTAGTTGGTTCCCGAAACACTCGCCATGCCACCTTCGCAAGAAGGGCCTGATTGAAGCAACCAAAATCGCGAAAGCCAAGGCCGCCAGAAAACTTACTCTCACAAAGATGCTTCCAAGCACGCCAATGAATACGCCGATGATTCTGAGTAGCACCCCACCAAAATCTTGCCATATGAGCATTAAGACGCTTAATCAGTTCAGCGGGGAGACGGAAGCAAGACATGACATAAATCGGTAATGTCGAGGCAATAGTTTTCAACAGAACTTCCTTCCCAGCCGCGGAAAGTGTCCGCTGTTTCCACCCTTGAAGCACTGTCAATAACTTTTCTTCGGCATACCTGAAAGTATCTAATTTAGAAGCACCCATGAGCGATGGGAAACCAAGGTAATGATCTTGAAGACCAAAAGAACCTACGCCCAGCGCAGAACTAATGTCCTCTTGATCAGGCTGCAGCAAATTGGGACTGTAAAAAGCTGAAGACTTAAGAAGATTAACTCGTTGCCCACTCAAACATTCATAATCCTGAAGCAGACGTAAAAGGTTGTCGCAGTCCCGACGTGAAGCACGTAAGAAAAGATACGAGTCATCTGCAAAAAGAAGATGGGAAATGACAAGACAAGAATGGTGTATCCGGACTCCATGAATTTCATGACGGTGAATAGTCTGTTTGATCTAAGCAGTGAATCCCTCGGTACAAAGCGCAAATAACAAAGGGGATAAAGGATCGCCCTGTCGAAAACCCCTGGAAGCCGAGAAATACCCTGATGGCTGACCATTCATCTTAACAGAAAATGTAGCCGTGGTGACAAGCCCACCGGATTGTTTACAAGAACATAAAAGCCTCCAAGTAGAGCTTGGCCGTGTACTTTCTTCCTTGGGCTCAGTTTGTATTTAAAGCCCACTTGACAAAATAACTCCCAAAAGGTTTTTTATTGTGAAGATTTTGGACTAAAGGAGTAGAGAATAAGCTAAGCAGCCCACAAGAGCAATTAGTTGAAGCCCACAATCGTATTGTTCGATTGAACGGTAAAGGAAAATGTTGAAACCCGATCTCTGCTGACAGGTCGGATTAGGACCGGGTGGGATTTTGTGATTATTTTTTATAACTCATATACAAGGGAGAGTGGGTATTATTGAGATTATGAACGAGAATATTATTGAAACATGAAACCCCAAATCCTTAATTCTCTTTTTCCCAAGTTCTCCCACAATTCTTCTCAATCAAACACACTTCATTCATATGGCAATTTAAACCCGCCCCGGAGGTATTACCCGACCTGATCCGCGATGGGGCGAGTATTACCCGACTCGCAGTAGTGTGGGACAGGGCATGGATATCTACTTCCGACTCGCCTTGCCCTGCCCCGCCCCGTTTTTAACCCATTCTATCTCAATTTCCTACAATATCAATACATATTGCTCCTATTTTGACTTTTCTTCAACTACTTAGAGTCCATCTTTCAACTTGTTAGACTCAATTACCTATTCTATTATCACTATTTTCATTCATAAAGTGTTTTCTCATTTTTTTATCATAAAAAGTAAAATTTGCGTAGTATCTTTTTCAAAGAACATATAAGAGTGTGTCGACCCGCCTCGTACCCGCGCGGGTTTTACCCGCCCGACCCGTAGTAGCGTGGGGCGGGACATGTGTATTCAGGTACCCGCCCCGCCCTGCCCCATTGCCATCACTAATCTTCATGGGTCTCAAGAACTCTGTTTCTAGCGGTGGTATCAGAGCTTATGTGTTGAAGGCAAAATGCAAGGATTGAAAAAACCGCATCGTACTAGCGGTGCGACCAGAAAAACCTCATATCAGAGGCTAAACTGGTAAGTGATATTTAGCAGTATGAAACGGTTAAGCCACGAAATATCCTACCGCTCACTTTTTCGATAAAACCTCATGTACAATTTTACAATCCTTTGTAAAATGTCATTTTACATGATGAATGAACAGCATTGGAGATAGAAATATGAGTGAGGGGAGTTTAAAAATTTAAACTCTAGATTTTGAAAATATTAACGATTTAAAATCATTATCAATTACTCTAATTCTCAAATCTATTATTAAACCACATAGTACGAAATGTTTGCGGACTCTAATCTCATGGAGAGATAGTTATTTCTTATGTGATATAGAAAGATTCTGTAAGGTTAGTTAACTTTTACATAACACGTTAATCAAATGTGATATTTCTATAACTTGATTTTATTATCATAGCACACTTTACTGAAGATTTATGTAACAACGTTTTTAATATTTACATAAATTAAATATACATTGCATAAAACTTATGGATGATATTTTTTTCTTATGTATCCATTAAACAAGCATACAGAGTATATTTGTAGGACACTATTTAAAACTTATGGAAGTATCACATATCCAAACAATTTTGTAAATCATTTGATTTCAACTAAATCATTAAATAACTTGAAATTTTATTATATATAATTAATTTATAAATCGTTGCGAAGAACGGCCGAATAAACTTGTTGTGCATTTAAATACAGATCATCCTTTGAATGGATAAATATGGCCGTAAACATTTAGAGCTCTGTAGAAATCATCCTCAAGGAAAGATCCATCGCGTAATTATAGGTCAGATGAAGAAATAAGCTTGACCAATTATAGGATAGATCACCTCGTGCAGTAGTATTCATCATCCGGGTCTCTTACATTTAGGGCAATGTCGTGGGTGGGTGGAGGTGAGGCGGTGGCGGGCGCCCGCCCTATCTTTTGATCCTGATCCGCGTTAGTGACACGGCGGGCCTGATGATGACGTTGAAATGCTGATAGTGTTGAACTGACAGTATTATCCAGAGCCGTTGGATGTTGAGCCAATTCAGTTTGTTTGCTTTTGATAAATTGGGAAGGTTTCGTCCACATTAATGGCGTCTGAAGGCAAGGCGGTTGTGGCTTCAATATCTAAATCTAGGGCGGGAAAATAGACCAGACCGTTTGAAAAACCGTGATCCAAATCGTACTGTACAATTTGGTCCGGATCGTAGACCATTAAGTATGGTCTGGTCTGGTTTGGTTTATAGTCTGTATTATTTTATGTTTTGATCTCTTGGTCTGGTCTGGTCCAGACCGCGGTTTACCGGACCATACCGTGGACCCAACTAACTTGTCAATACGTGTTAACAGCCTATTCGACCACTCTCCCAACTCCCACAACGACATCCAAGTCTCAACCTTAGTTTTGTGAATGTCGTTCCTCCTTCATTCACAACCACATTTAACCAGAGAGTAGAGATAATTGGGTCTCCATATGACATTATGTTAATGTTTATGACGTTATGATGCAAGTTGGGATACTTTTACTTTGTATATTTGTTATGTACTAAGATTTAGGGTATCAAAATTATTCATGCATGTTAGGATTAATGTGTTAAGGCAAATAACCATTGTTTTTCTTTGTTATTGGTTCAATTTTTTGTGTGGTTGACTAAACAAATTATTCATTTTTCATTGATTGTGGTCTATCTGGACCAGACCAAACCGAACCAGACCGCACAGGCGTGGTCTGGACCAGACTGTATAATTTGTGGTCTGGTCTGTGGTATATACTTAAACCTCTCGGTCTAGACCATAGACCGTATATATGGTCTGGTCTGGACCAAACTGCACCGTTTCCTAGCCCTATCTAAATCTATGGACAAAGGCAGGGCGGTTGTGGCTTCCATATCTAAATCTAAGCTACAGCTATAGTTTGTTACTACGTGTTTTGGCGACGTCCTGAGTTCGGTAGCTAAGAATCTCCCTATCTAGCTCTTTAAGATTAACATTTCATTTCTCCACACCTGACCTCGTACCGATTGAATCATGTATTGCTGATTACGTTAATGCAACTTCCTAATTATATTTTGAATTTTAATGTTGTGATTACTTAAATCGTGTTAGTATTGGGTTTGTTGGGTTTGTTCGAGTTGTAGTAGCTGGTCTAGAGGTGGCAATTCTCAATTCAATCCACCAACCCATTAAAAATATCCACCAAATCCAATCCATTTAAATCCAAATCCAATTGGATTGGTGGATTCATGGATTGATTCGTGGATCCAAATGACAAATTATGATTTGGTACCTATACTTTTTATATTTTACATTTTGGTACCCAAAATTTATTTTTATACGAAAAATATCATTGGAAAATTACGTTTTGGTACCTAAAATTTTTCATTATAACATTTTAGTACTTAAACTTTTCACCTTTTACATATTGATCCTTGGCTGAGGATGTCATTTAGATTCATGGATAATCCACCAATCCACTTGATCCAATCCATGAATCCACCGATCCATTGGATTCAATCCATTTGATCCATGAATCCACCAATCCATGGATCAATCCATTTGCCACCTCTAGCCGGTACGGATACCTGGTCGTACTCACTCTACTCGTTAGGGTTTTAATTCTAGTATATCTCTATATATAAGATTTAGCTACGAATCATGTCGTATGCAAGCCATCAAGATTTAATCCTAATAAGAGATCAGTCGTGAGCTCACCGTAGATTCATCATGTTCACATCGAACAAGGATACCACGTAAAATAATTTGTTTCATGTTCTTCTTATTCCGCATTATCAAATTCTTCGTGTAACATCAAAATGCGATTCAGAAACAACATCGCTTCATTCAATGTTGGTTTTGGTGATTGAAGACGCCGGGTTTTTCTTTAGTGATGCAAGTTCTAGCTTGGTGATGGGCAAATTTTTTATATTTTCTTCCCAATTTCATGAGATTAGAAATTGTTTTAACGATCAAAGAAGTTTCGTACTGAATTCTAACAATAAGCTAACGAAAAAGAGTTAGAAAACACAAAAGTTCGGGGTCACTTGGTAATTGATACGTAGGGTTCGTTTAGAAGTTGCGATAGTTTTGTTGAGATTGTCATTATGTATGTATTGTTTACAATGCATCGTTTTTTTGTTTTTTTAGCAGAAACAATACATGGATTATTTCTGTGATGTGACAGAAACTATCACTCATTTTGAGTGATTGTTATATCTCAACTTTTAGTTGTGATTGTTAAGATAGTTGAGTTGAGATTGTTTTGTCTCAGCTTTTAGTTGATGCGACATACACAATTACACATACCAAACGTTGTATTCTACAATGCATCAAATTCGACAATACATGTATAATATTATACATACATTCTCAACAATTCATCTGTGTACATTTAAAAATTATCTTCTACCATATTGATGAACTATAAGGTAATTAATGATCTTATAAGGCTACATCAATTATAAGAATTAATGTTGTTTAAGTTGGACCTTATGGATATTGATTTTAAACCCAAACCACCAAGTCATAGTGAGCATGAACATGATTCAAGATTGAGGGATATTGGCCTCTCGTAGGACAATGGGAGGACAGGTGCCGGCGCCGGAGATGAAGGAAAGACACGTCACTGGGCATGTGTCGTCTAGGCCCATCTGCTCCCGCCATGTGGTTGTACACATGTCAACCATGCTTCTGCCTAAGGGGAACACTCTTGCCACATGCAAACTAATTGAGTAGAGGGCATGACACATGTGCAGGTAATACAAATGCAATGGATCTAGGTGGGGAGAATAGATGTGAATCCGGGTACTGGGAGCAGGGGACCACAGCGAGCCCGGGCGCCGTGAGGAGGAGGTGACAGCACGCCCGAGCGCCGAGCACCGGACGAGAGGCGAAGGCCCGCCACCGTGAGCCGGGGCAATGGTGGGCCCGGGTGCCGGGAGGAGGGTAAAGCACGGGAGCCGGGGTCCGGGAACGATCACAGGCTAGGGCGCCGGGAACCGGACGAAAGGTAAAGGCCCGCCGCCGGGTGCCGAGGCAATGGTGCGCCGGTTGCTGGGAGGAGGGCGGAGCCCGAGAGTCGGGGTCCGAGAACGATAACGGGCACGGGCGCCGGACGAGAGGTGAAGGCCCGTCGCCGGGAGCCGGGGCAATGGTGGGCCCGGGTGCCGGGAGGAGGGCGGAGCCCGGGAGCTGGGGTCTGGGAACGATAACGGGCTTGGGCGCCGGGAACAAGACGAGAGGTGAAGGCCCACCGCCGGGACCCGGGGCAATGGTGGGCTCGGGTGCCGGGAGGAGAGCGGAGCCCGTGAGCCGGCGTCCGGGAATGATAACGGGCCCGAGCACTGGGAACCGGACGAGAGGTGAAGGCCCACCGTTGGGAGCCGGGGCAATGGTGGGCACGGGTGCCGGGAGCAGGGCGGAGCCGAGGTCCAGGAACGATAAGTGCCCGGGCGCAGGGAACCGGACGAGAGGTGAAGGCCCGCCGATGGGAGCCGGGGCAATGGTGGGCCCGGGTGCCGAGAGGAGGGCGGAGCCCTAGAGCCGGGCTTCGAAAACCGTAACGGGCCCGAGCGTTGGGAACTGGACGAGAGGTTAAGGTCCGCCTCTGGGAGCCGAGACAATGGTGGGCCCGGGTGCCGGAAGGAGGGCAGAGCAGGTGTCCGGGAACGATAACGGCCCGGGCGCCGGAAATTGGACGAGAGGTGAAGGCCCGCCGCCGAGAGTCGGGGCAATGTTGGGCTCTGGTGCCGGGAGGAGGGTGGAGCCCGGGAGCTGGGCTCGGAGGGAGGAACCCTAATCTTGGGGAAATCGCGAGGCACTGTATGATTTAGTGTTGGCAGGCCATGGCACAATTGGATACTAATTTGAGCTGGACGGGCCTGACCTAACACTTCACCCGAGAGAATCGTGGGCTGAGCACGATTGGCAGCCCAGGTGAAATAATGCACTATTTGAGCAGATGGTGAGCTGGTGCTGTAAAAATATTTTTACATTGGAATCAATTGCCCCCTTGCCGGTGAGAATCTGAAGATTGTCGGGGTAAGCATGGTCTATCCCGTGACTAATACTCAAATTTAATCTTGGGAGTTTATTAGAAGACTACATATCTTTTATATATTTTTATTCATTGAATGTTGGTGAAGATTATTTGGGAAGTGCACAAGTCTTGGATTTGGGGAGAGAATTTTCCCTCCCTAAGACTCTGGCCTTCATTCTTCCTGATTCCCATGAACATAATAGAAGACTGTGCATTTTTCTTAAATTTTGGTTAAAGATCGTTTGAAAAATGCACAAACCCTTGGACTTTTTAGAAGATAAAGTGTTCTCTTCCATGCTTTTCTCTTGTTTATCCTCCTATAAATAGCAAATTCCTTTCTTCTTCATTCTTCACTTCATTCTTCTCCCAATGCTCCCTTTCATTGAGAGAAAACTTGTTAGCTAGCAGGCGGTGACAAGGCGAGGGTTAGCTCATAAGCTGTTGGAGACTTGATCGCGTCAGGTATGACATCTTTCCCCCTCCTCCCAACACTATGTAGTATGCTTGCATGTGGGGGGGGGGGGGTATGAGTACTTAGTTTTTTTCTTTTTGTTTCTTCTCCGTCTTGGTTATGGCATATCGGCGGGTGATGTCGAGTCGGGATTCCTCAGGAGGAGTTGTCCTGTCGGAGGAGGATGAGGTTACTTAAAGGGAGGAAATGGCGATCCCAATACAAGTCATCCCTGCGTTTAAAGGAGGGTGGTTTGCTCATGCACCATTTACGACCCATGGTGATGGATGGATACCTCGGTCGATCGAGCCAGTCAGAACGAGAGCTAGGGCGAGATATTGTGTGCGCTCCTTGTTCGATACTTTCTCGGAGGATGATGTGGCGGGAGACTTGTATCGGGAGGCTAGACGGAGTGAGGACTTAACAAAGAGGATGGTGGAGTTGCAGGATATTCTGGCCTTGTATGGTATGCCAGATCAGTGGGAGTATGCTCTCCCCGGCCATGATGCCAACATTAACTCTTGTGGGTCCGGGTGGCATTGCATTATCTATGAGTCCCTCTCCTATGGGTTTCATGCCCCCTTGCCCAAGTGGCTAGGCAAGGTTATGATAGATGTTGGCTTGGCCATTTGTTCGGTGGCACCCACATTCTGGGCATTCGTGGTAGCGTTTATTTCTTGCTGCAAGGAGAAGGGTATAAACCCTAGTGAAGATCTATTCTATGCGTCTTTCACAATTCGTCATGTTTCCTCGGGTAGTACCTCTTGGGGTTTGGAGCATCGCTTCTATGGGCCCAAATCGGATCGGTGTTCCCCTTTTGGGTATGTGATGTAGATAAAACAAAAGGGCTAGTATGATAAGTTTTTCTTCTTCTCCCCCCTGCCAGGGGGACTCACGGTAGGTGGCGATCCACTTCCGGATGAAAGTGGGCTTGAGAATCCGAGTAAGCTTCTTAAGGCACGCAACGTTCCTCTGGATTTCGGTCAGTTTTTAAGTGGGCCTCCCACCGAACTGCGTACCAAGGAACAAATTAGGTTGCTGGTAATCCAAGCTTATTCAGAGGGTAGGACTTAGGAGGGTTGTAGTACTTCGTGCATAATAGGTTTTGCCATTCTAGAATTCTTGCTCGCCTTGCGAACTAAGCTATCTTTTTCCAGGTACTATGGATGTTGAGTGGTTGCTTCGCGGCATGGAATGCGTTCAAGATGATGCAGCTCCAGGGATAGGTCAAGGATTCCGAAGGACTGGATATCTATCAAAGTTGGGGGGTCCACAGGAGGAGGATCATTGTTGACTCATCAAGTCCTTCTCGATTCTCCGCCGGCTCTGGAGCCTGCGCCGGGGTGAGTGTCACTCAGAGGTTATCCGAGAGCTCGGGCTCCCAAGCCAGTGTTGGATCTTGGAGAGCTACTTCAGGTCCGACCTGGTGGGCATCTCCAACTCCTGTGAGCGTGACTCCCAACAACCCGTCTTCGGTAAGGCGAGAGCCTCTAGCTCAGTGTCGGCAATGTCTGCCCCCATCGGGGTTCTAGAGCACAACGCCTTTTGGACGCCCTCGACATTGATCATAGTGACACTTAGGACATGACCGAGTCTTTCTACCAGGTAAAAAATCCTCAAGTAACTTTTAAATCGTACTAGGTGGGAGGTACTAATCTTTGTTCATTTGTAGGTGGTGAAGGAGTCGGTGTCTTCCCATGTCCGAATAAAATCAGCAGCAAAGAAAACCAATGAGGCCTTTTGATAACGATGTAATTGCACGTATTTGCACCCCTAGTTCTTATCCGTTTGAGGGGCATAGTCGTGTATTTTTGGCATATTTTACGCTGGGTTGTGCTACTTTGTCATATTTCAGGTCCCAGGCGTCAAAGGAAAGGCTAAGCACGAGTTTCAAGGCATTCGGAAGTCATTCGGTCGAGCTGGAGCCAAAACACGGGCACGCTTAAATCAGAACACGGCCGTGTTCCTAGACCGTGCTTTTACTGCCGAGGCTTGATCTGAGTTTGGCAAACACTAGCTCAAACACACGGGCAGGTCTGAGACAGAACACGGCCGTGTCCACCAAAAGCACAGCCGTGTCCACCAAAAGCACGGCCGTGTTTCTCCCAACAGGCTGGCCGTGTAATTAACCCTTGGCAAAGTACGGGCGGGCTGGAGCAAAGCACGGCCGTGCCCTCGACCGTGTTTTGCCCAGTGATGCCCTTTTAAGCAGATTTCAGCCAAAACAGAAGGGGATTCGAGTTTTGAGAGAGGGAGAGCGATTCCTAGAGAGAGAAAGCGACGAACAAGAGTCTCCAAGTGCCCTAGCTTGATCTTCATCACCATTGGAGCTTGGCTTGAGCTTGGAGAAGTGCCAATCAACGTCCAGGAGCAGGAATCCATCCTTCACAGTATGAATTGCGCATCTGATTCTGCTTTTGCTTCTTTCTCCATGGAGTAGTTCTCCCATTCATCTGGGTATGGAGAACCCTAGATTTGTATGTTAGGTTTGATTGTATGAACCCAAGTACTGATTCTATGATTTGATTATATTCAATTGAGGTTTGAATGATTGAATGACTTGAATCCTGATCAAATTCCTGTTGTTTCTGCTTTAACCTAGAATGAGAATATCTGCCTAGGTTGATAGAGCATCCTTGATTGAAGGTAGGGAGTTGGTGACTTTAGTCGAGGAGCCAACTCACTATTCTGTACCGAATTTACTTCGGTAGTGGAGGTTTTGTTCGTTAGGGCCTCAATCTGTTTACTCCAGTGGAGATTAGTCGCCCGCTAGAGACTCAGATTGAGAGGGTCTGGAGACCTTTAGTCGAGACTTCAGACTGCTTAAGAACCTTCCGCAGTATAACTATCATAGAAACTGAACTTGGTAATTACAATCCGGCTTAACTGCAGTCTAGGGGGAACCATATCCGGGTGACCTCTCTTAACCTGAAAACAACCGTTTACTTGCTTTATTTGTGTGTTAGTTCAGACTTGCATTAAAGTTTCATTGCTAGATAACAAGAATTCACCGAGTAGTCATCAAATCTAGGACCCGGGTTGACATTAAAACCCAAACCCGCTATACTACACTTTAGGAAGTGGTTACACTTGGCCAATTCCTAGAGTGACAGTAGAAGTGAGTCAAGTTTTTGGCGCCGTTGCCGGGGACGGCTAGGTTGTTGAAGAAAAGTGATTTCTGTTACTTTAGCACTTTCGTTTTCGCATTGACTGTTTGTTCTTTCCCACTTGTGCCTTCACAGGTTTGCTTGCTTGATTGTGTGCAGGTAGTGCATGACCCGTAGCCAGTCGGGAGGTTTACTGCCGTTGAATCCGGAGATTGAACGCACCTGTCGCCAACTCAGGAGACAACAGCGAGCTAGACTGGCTACGGCGGAGCGCATAGACGGCCATTTGAGCAGCGAGTCTGAGGAAGAATACGTGATGGAAGGAGAACACAACCCACCCCCGGGGAATCCTCTCCAGGGTCCCCCGATGAATCAGCTCTTGGGGAACAACCCCATACCCCAGGCAGATGAGGTTCATCATCACCCACCACCATAGGGTCCCACTTTGGAGTACTACTATACTCCACGGATTGTTGACATCCGCCCGGTCATCCTCTATCCGCCCATTCCAGCAAACAACTTCGAGATTAAGCCATGCTGGATTCAGCTCATTACATCCTCTATCTTGTTCCATGGCTTGAAGGATGAGGAGGCCAGGGTACATCTTTCCCGTTTTCTGCAGCTGACGAACGGGTTCAAACTGAATGGTGTCCCCGATGATGCAATCCGCCTTCACCTTTTCCCCCATTATCTGGCGGGGAATGCTAAGAGGTGGTTGGAGACCCAGCCCCCATTGTCCATCACCTCTTGGGACGATCTGGCTGACAAATTCGTGCACAGGTACTATCCGGCATCGAAGACTACAGAGATCCAGCGGGAGATCACTCACTTCCGCCAAGAGCCAGATGAGTCACTTCGTGATGCATGGGAGCGGTACATGGGATATTTCTGGCAGTGTCCCCATCATGGCTTCAGTGATTCATTCACAGTGGGGAACTTCTACA